CATTGGGGAAATGATCGACCCCTGTGGAACCCCACAATTGAGACTCCATGGCGCCGAAATACTCTCCCCAAGTTGCACTCTCTGGGGGCAGTCCTCCAAGAAGGAACGGAACCAGGCCAGAGCCAAGCCACCAATACCCAACTCAGAGAGCCTCCCCAGGAGGATACCATGGTCGACGGTATCAAAGGCCGCCGAGATGTCGAGGAGGACCAACAAAGATATTTTACCGCTGTCGGCCTCCCTCAACAAGTCATCATACAGGGCGACCAATGCCGTCTCTGTACCGTGGCATGGCCTGAAGCCCGACTGAAAAGGATCCAGGGCATCTGTTTCATCCAGATGTGCCTGAAGCTGGTCAGCCACCACCCTCTCGACCACTTTGCTCATGAAAGAAATATTGACAACGGGCCTGTAATTGCCAATTTCGTCCGTCGCCAAATTAGGTTTCTTTCTTATGGGCCTAATGAGTGTCTCCTTGAGGGCAGAGGGAAACCTGCCCTCAAGGAAAGACCCATTTATTATTGCAGTGGCCCATTCTGTTGTTATCGGCCTGGCTGCTTTGATTAGCCAGGCCGGGCAAGGGTCAAGGGAGGAGGTGGTGGCTCAACAGCGGTCAAGCACTCTGGCCAGAGAATCAGGCGTGACAGGCTGAAAGGAGTCAAGGGTTTGATTGATGTCTCTAGTTAGAACAGCTTTGAAGTAATTTTGAAAATATACTCCAGAGATTGTTTTAATAATAATTTGAACTATTTGGGGTATGTAAAAACCTTAAATACTGATATTTCAGTCATTTATGTAAATACAGCTATGTGCTGAGAATAACAAGGGTTTATACAGTACTTTGTACAATCATTTCAAATGAATACATTCTGCAATTTTTATTCCTTAAGGTTCGTATTTAGTCTGATTTATTTGAAAGTATAATTAAAATACATTTCATATTCGGCTTGTAAATGTGAATACATTTTAAACTGATTAGGTTTCCCTCAGTCTTCTGTTAGAAATACATTTTAACTGAAACAGTATTTTCTTCTCTAAAATGCTTAATTTTTGCAATGGATGCTGTCGTTTTATTTTTGTAATGAATGTGTTTCCCCACTTTAGTTTTTGTTGACAAACATCATATATCAACATGCTGTATAAATTAATGCTCTGTTTGTTTCTTTGAGATAACAGATTTTACACAAACACATAATTTATTTTGGCATTCCTTTCTTCTGCAAATGACAGTGAAAATAATGAGCAATAAAGTACAGTGGTGCCTCGTTTAACGATTTTAATTGGTTCCAAAAAATTCATCGCTATGGGAAAACATCGCTAAGCGAAACACGTTTTCCCGTAGAGATGCATTGAAAACCGGATAATCCGTTCCAGTGGGAACGGATTGCCGTCCTTAAGCGAAAATCGCCATAGGAAACATCGCTAAGCGAAATGCAGTTCCCCCATTGGAATGCATTGAAACCTTTTCAATGCATTTTAATGGGGGAGAAAAAATCATCAAAATTTCAAAAAGAGTCAGAATGAAGCCAGATTTGGTTAACAAAGGGTTTATTAAGTGCACTAACGATTTCAAGCACTCTAAACCCTTTTAAAACAATTTAACACCTTTTAAAAATAGCAAAAACAGAGCTGTCAAAAACATTGCTAAGCGAAACAGGGGCCCCTAAACTGTCATCGCTAAGCGCAGCAAGGTCCCGAACATCGCTATGCGAATTTCCCCCATTGGAAACATCGCTAAACGGAGCGCAAGATTGCTCCTAAAACCTCATTGCTAAGCAAATACATCGTTAAACAAGGCAATCACTAAACGAGGCACCACTATACAGACTTTGGTTTTATCTTGTTTCAGTATATTTTGCATCTTTCCCTCCTATTGGAAATGATTGTGGTGAAGCAGTTGCTATAGTTTGATATGTCATTGCATTAGTGTATGTGGAAAGAATGAGCAGCATTTGTTCCAGCACCAAAATTTTAAGGTAGATTGGCTTGCAGTATAACCTCTGCCTTTTGTTAAGATGTTTCACTCACTCCTTGTTAGCCTAAGCTAGAGATTGATGTAGTTTGCCTAATGTAAGGCTGTGACTATACAGGCAAGTGTGCACCACTGAGACTACACTGCAACTTGATTCGCAGTGTATTTTATGCTTCTATTCAGATTAGGTGATCAAACAGAGACCGTGGATTATTTTGGAGCCATTGTCTACTCCTGTTGCTCAGTCTGGTGCAGCTTGATCTGTGCCAGAGGCCACAGCCCCCCCCCCCCCCCCCCCCCCCGATTCTGTCTTTGCTGATCCCTGGCTCTCTTTTCATGTCTCATTGCAAAGCTGGTGGGCTGTTTAAAGTTCTGCACAGTATTACAGTTTCCCAGAGTTCTCCATAATGCACAAACACATGCACACATACCATGGAAACATAGTAGTTGCTATGGAAGTAAAAGTTGCCATTTTACTTCAACCATTTTACTTCCACAGCAAATCCCATACTATTTATCTGTGTAGTGACAGCCTAAGGCAACAATGGCGAACCTATGGCACACTTGCCACAGCTGGCACACAGAGCCGTCTCTGTGGACACGTAAGCCATACATTGCCATCAAGAAATACTTACCTGTCCTGTGATCCCAG